AGGCCAGCTCATATAAGCTGTTATTTGTCAGGACCACAGGAGGGAGGCCTTGGAAACTGTTGTTCTAAGTGGCGGCAGGAGCCCAGGCTTTGCAAGCTGTCGAGTTCTGGTCTTGCAGGAAGCTAGCTGTTGCAAACTGTGAAGTGTTAGACCCACAGGAAGCCAGACTCTTTCAACTGTGAAATACCAGATACCTCCAGACAATGCTGTCTTTGGAAATACCACCAAAGGTAAGATGATTGAAACCCAAGAAAAACCCCCAAGAGGAAAAAGGAGACCAGATAGAGACAAGGGAGAAGATTTATTACAAAAAGCAAGGACACTAGAAGAAGGCCTATCCAAAGTCCTGGGGAGGTCTCTCTTTAGAAGAACTGTCTTCCAATGGGTAGGATGACAATTTGCTGATTTATCCAAAGAAGACCAAAAGGGCCAGAGTGGGAGGAAGTTCAATCTAGTTTGTTGGTAACTTCTGTCATCCTGTTGCCTTCCTCAAGCACACACTGAAGACCCCAGGCAACAGGGACTATGCGAGGTCTCGAAAAGACCTAAAAATTACTTCTTCTTGAAACTCTGCTGGAACACTTCCATGAAAAACTAGAAGTCTTTCGTAGGCCATGCTTGGCAAGATCTGAAGAAATTAAGATCAAGTTTAAGTCACTGAAAGCCTTCAGAGTGACAATAGGAATAAAGTGGACAACCGAGCCCTGTCAGGAAACCCATCTCTAGTATAGTCAGTGGTTGCTTTGGCTTGCTCTGAATTAAAGTAGAACCAGAAGTAGGCTTAAATTAAGCCCACAAAATGGTGTATGAGAAACTTTATCTAAGCCACTTTTCTCCATCTCCTCTAGTAACATCTCTAAAAATGTTTTTCTTTGTAATTCACAAGTTTGTTCTCTCTAGGTTTGCTCCCTTTCCTATAGATAACCTGAACACTGAGGTTTGTTCCAGACCCTGAGCCTTGTTCCAGAGATAGACTGCCAGCTGAGGAAGCGAGGTTCAACCAGCCACTTTCATTGGACTCAACCTCACAAGTCGAAAATACTCCCTCAAGGATCAGCCCAGACGTTTGTCTTACTGAGGACCTATGATTAGGTCCTCCAATTACCAAGAGAAAGGGGGAATGTAAGAGTCAAGATTTGTAATATATATCTCTGGTCTTGCCGCCATCTTAAGGCCTTTGTCCTTGTTTTTCTCGAGTTCACTTTCTGAAAGGAACTCAGGAACAAAGAAGTGACTCTAACTCCTCCTGTATGAACCTTACTCCAATCAGAGTATGCCAAATGTTCGGGGCCCTTGCTAATGAGCCCGCTCATTTACAAATTAGCCAATTGCCATGCACCACCTCCATCTTACCTCACAAGTTCCCCAATTCCCTTGTATCTCCCCGCTCCCACTCAGTCTTTGCCACCAATAAAAACCTTGTCGGGAAGTGCTGGGGGCTCTGCCACATGGCCGCTGAGTTGGTGTGTGTGTAGAGTCCCTGCTCTAGAGTTTGTAATAAAATCCCTCATGTTCTTGCATCAATTTTGGCTCCCTGGTGTCCTCTGGGGGACTCGTGACTGTGGCACAACAATGGTATACCAATTGACATATTTCAGCTAACAGATGGTGCCCTGGATGTGCTCACCAAGTTGTGCCAAGAAATCTGGAGAACAACCGCATGGCCAACTGACTGGAAGAGATCTATATTTGTTCCCATCCCAAAGAAGGGTCACCCCACAGAGTGTGGAAACTATAGAACAATATCATTGATTTCACATGCAAGCAAGATTCTACTGAAGATTGTCCCAAAACGACTGGAATAGCACATCAGCAGAGAACTGCCAGAAGTCCATGCTGGGTTTAGAAGGGGTCGTGGTACTAGAGATATTGTAGCTGATGTTAGCTGGATCTTAGCTGAAAGCAGGAAATACCAGAAGAATATCTATCCGTGTTTCATTGATTACGCAAAGGCATTTGACTGTGTGGATCATAACAAACTATGGCTGACTCTGAGAAGAATGGGGATCCCAGAACACTTGATCGTGCTAATGAGAAACCTGTACTTCAGCCAAGAGGCAGTCAT